AGCAAACTAGTAGCATTTTAACGCTGGTAAAAATGAGAAATAAAAAAAACAATTGAGAGTCGTTATTTTGATTTTTTTCAGTAAAATAACATTTTTTTAAATAGAAACCCCTGTATATTATATTTTTTTCTGTTAAAGCATCAAATTTTAAACAAAAAAGTTCATAATGACTTTTCCGCTAAAGTCAAAATAAAGTCAAAATAACGATAAATATTTTTAATTATTTGCAGTATTATAATATTAAGACGGCTATGAAAACAACATGGCGTTCGCGATTTGACAGCATTAAGATAAGCGACAAATTGTTAAACTGGACATACTCGCAACTAGAAGGCTTTGGAAACAATGATAAAATCAAATAATGTCAAACATTAGTGTAAATACTTGTTTATAAGCTTTATTGTGTCATTAATTTAAAGAAAAATGTTCTCCCATGAAGAAAAGTGTGATATGTTAGAATGCTATTTAGTGTGCAGAAAATCCTCCTACAGTGAATTATATCCCGCTCGCATTCAACCGTATGAACGATATTTTCTGAGACTTTATCGAAAATTTAGGGGCAACGAAAATGTTTTTGCTAAAACAAGGGCAAAAAAGAATTCATAATAAGCGAGGCCACGGAAATTGCAGTTATTGGATATTTTGAAGCTTATCGTGAGAATTCAATAGCAGATATTCTCAAGGACTCTAATTTCAGTTATGGTACTGTTCAAAGGATTTTAAAAAAATACAAATTTATTCCGTATAAGTACCGACCAGTTCAAACGCTTTTGGCAGGGGATCCAGAGAGAAGACTTGTTTTTTGCCATTGGTATCTTAGCTTCTGTCGCCAAAATGTAAATAACTTTCGTTACCTTTTATGGACAGATGAATCAAATTTTTCAAATTCTGGAATGTTTAATAGAAAAAACCACCATTATTGGTCAAGAGAAAATCTTTTGTTAGTACATCCAAGAGGCCCACAAGTCCGTTTCAGTTTCAACGTTTGGTGCGGTATAATTGGTTCAAAAATTGTTGGCCCGTTCTTTTATGAGGGAACCCTAACTGGTGAAAGATATGTGGAATTTATGTCAGAAATTCTGACTAATTTCTTAGACGAATTGGATCTTATAAGTAGACATCATCTGTATTTTCAGCAAGATGGCGCACCTGCCCACAACTCCAGAGGTACTTATCATTTTCTAAGTACTACTTTTAATGATCAGTGGATAGGAACAAATGGCCCAATACAGTGGCCTCCCAGATCACCAGATCTAAACCCACTTGATTACTTCTTGTGGGGTTACTTAAAGAACCAAATTTACAAGCGAAGGTACGATAACCTTGACGCGTTAAAGACTGCAGTTAGGGAAAAGATAACCCAGATAGATGGTAGGACCATACTTAAGACAGTTCGAGCAGTTGAAAAACGTGCCCAAAAATGTATTGAAGAACAAGGTGGTGTTTTCGAGCATCATCTTTAAAAAAAATTGTTATTGTATTTTGTAAGATTATAAGTTGATGTTGAAAATAAAGTTTGTCGATACAATTTAATTGTTTCAGATTGGAGGCCATAACTTCAACAATTTGTAACCTAGGAGAAAAGTTATTGTAAGCTTTTTTGTTTAAAATTTGATGCTTTAACAGAAAAAAATATAATATACAGGGGTTTCCATTTAAAAAAATGTTATTTTACTGAAAAAAATCAAAATAACGACTCTCAATTGTTTTTTTTTATTTCTCATTTTTACCAGCGTTAAAAATGCTACTAGTTTGCTAATTCAAACAACTTTGTATTTTCACTAATAACAAAGTTACTAATGGTGGACACTTAATTTGGATAACCCTGTATATTAATGACACTAAATTAGCGACCCAGTCGAGTTCCGGGAATCTGATTCACGGCAGATTATAAAGTCCGGTGGATATGGTATTGGAATTTTGGTGCCAAACTTGACAGCAGAAGCACAATGAATCGTTAAAACCAAATTCGAAATTACGTTTTGTCAACTCTACCCTATGTGATGTAGAACCTCGAAATAAAGTTTGATCAACAAAGTTCGGCTATACAGGATTTCCAGGAATTACATACGCATGTACAGAGTAGTGCAGAATGCAGGTTCTGTAGACCTTGACATCCCTTACCTAAGGGACTACAGCAGTCGAGGAAGTTCGCAAGCACACAAGACCGCGGCTCGTACTGTGAACAAAATTAAGTCGTGCAATAATAGCTCCAACCAAAATCTACAATACTTTTAATAAGCGAAAAGGTCCAAAGGACCGCTCTGCCGGACTATGACGAGTAGAAAAATAACAACATCCAAAAAACATGACATCTCATTTTTAAAATGTTTGCCGATTACAATACTCCCACTAGTAGGCGTGGTAAGTGAAAATTCCAGAAATACCTGTACACAGCAATAGCAGCTCCTATCACTGATATCGATCGAATCTTGTAGCTTTTTTTACCCTTCGCCCGTCGTTTGTTTAGCCTGACTTGGACGCTGCTTAACTTCCAGCAAGCTAAGCAACTAATTAAGGTTTCTCGATAAAATCAATCTTGATCCTGTACACAATCCTCATACTAACGATTCGTTTCCACTTCACTGTTTGCTAATAAAACAAAGACTGGCGTTATTTAATAATTTTCCGGTTTTATTAATTAGGAAAGTTCTTCCTTCCTTTGGACGTATTTTAGGTGACTGACGCGGAACTTCTCAAATCTGAAGTTATAAGCAGCTTAGGTAGAGCACGATACAGTAGCGCTTCGTCAGAAGAAGGAATCCTCACAAGGTTCCCTTTGGACGTCGAAGTACTATTTCTCGCATTTCAGATCCATGAACAATGCACATGCAGGATTTTAATCGAATATTACGTAACAACTAAGGTGGATTCTGGCAATATTTCTGGGTGAATATTCGCGTTTTCGGGACGATGGACGAGGGTGTCGTGTATGGTACATTAAAAACCGACTGATAACCTCATGTTCGCTTGATGCATAGCAGAGCTGGATGTCCTCTTGTGAACAGGAATGCCAGGCGGTCCTAGTCTTTGTTGGTTGTGAGTGGTAGCATGTTAAAATTTTAATCTCATTAAATTACAGGACTTTTCAGACTGAAACGAAGTGTCAGCTGAAAGAAAAATAAGTTGCTACTAGATCCAACACAAGACAAAGAGCTCTTCAGTTTAATACGCATTTCAGAAATAGGCTTGGCCACACGGTGGTTCTCAAGCCATAAATATGTGATTGCAACTGAACTACCTCCATAATTTAGTTTACCATTCTTTTATAGCATAGATAACAGATATATGAATCCCGCGATGCAGTTCATGGGTCGTCTTTATTAAACCTTTGGGTAAAAAAGGGAAAACCGATAACTCTGAAGAACGCTTCAGAGATTCTAAATTATTATAAGTATTGTTGTATATAACCCACGTAGCAGGTTCCAAAATAGACAAGGGGTACCAAAGCTATAGTAGTGTGTCCAGTGGGAAAGTTCACATTTCAAATTTGAATTACGCGGTAACCGCATACGCGAGGAAGTGGGGAGAGGTCTTGATCCATGCGTTCGGCGTGCGGGTTAAATAGTCACAATGTTACGTTGGACAGGAGCGCAACGTGCTTTAGCTATCGAGACTTACTTTAAGAGTGGTGATTCATACGCAGCTGCCCTTCGAAAATTTTGTACACGATACAACATTCGCCGACCAAGAGATGCTCCAAGTAAGAACCTATTGAAAAAGAGGATTAAGAAGTTCTGTGAAACAGCTCTAATCTTAGTCAACCCATTCCTGGCCTCACACCTACTCTATCAACCGAAGAAAATGTGCGTCGAGTAAGTGATTCGCTCATTGTAAACCCTCGGCGTTCTGTCCAGAAGCATTTCGCTGCTTTGGGAATCCTTAGCTCAACACTGAATGGCCTAATGAAGAAAAAAATGGGTTTTCATCCTTATAAAATCCAATCAGTCCAAGCTTTGAAGGAAAGTGAATACGTATTACGGAAGTATTGTGCTGAATGGATGTTGAATCTTTTTCCTACGCACCGCAGACTCAAGAACGTTGTTTTCAGTGACAAGGCCCATTTTCACTTAGACGGTTATGTGAACAAGCAAAATTGCAGATATTGGGAGCCAACGAACCTAAAAGGGAAACATCAACAACAGCTGCATAGTCCAAAGGTGACTGTTTGATGCGCTATATCCTCTAGAGCACAGTTCCCCAAACTTTTTTTGTGTCGTAGACCCCTTGCCATGTTTTTCCGTGTTGGGTAGACCCCCTACTTACCTGATATTGATTTCCTGTATATTTCTAACTGTAGTGAAGTTTAGTGTTAAAAACTTAAAGTAAAAACACATGTTAATTTATACATTTATTAAATGAATTTGAATTAAAACTACTCAAAATAAAATTTTGTATCTGTTATGTAAAATATACGTAACATTAAATAAACAGGTGTCTGACCAATAAGTGCCCGCATTGGAAATAAGTACCCGCATTGAAAAAAAATAAGATGGATAAAATAAAAAAAAGTGAAAAATAATGAAAAAAAGTTTTTTACTTAAAATAGTACAATAAGCGAGTTCGTTTATTAATTATAACATAAAAACATGTTCTACAATAATTTCACTGTTTGTTTGATTAAATTCCGCTTCGTATACGTTTAAGTTATCTAAAATAGGCAAAAATTAACGAATTTTAGTGTGTACCTATCCTTGAATTTTCAGAATAATTTAAAAAAAAATATTTTCTTTAAAAAAAATCAATGCGGGCACCTATTTCCAATGCGGGCATTTATTGGTCAGACACCAATAAACATAAAATAAACTATAAATAAAATAACATAAGCAATAAGTCAATATTTTTAGCGAGAAGGATGAACCTGATGCTTTAATAATAAATTATCAACATTTGGCGTCAATTTTGTAAGGGTTAATCTTAAATCTCCTCGGCTAATGATGTCCAGTCTGTTTCTTTTTTTCGTTAGGAGATTGGTAACAGCGCTGAACGGTATAAGTAACGGGTATGTTGTCTTGCAGCCAGAATTGCTGATATCCGTTTTTAAACTGAACCTTAAGTTCTTCGTTTGTACTTAGTTCAGTCAGTTCCTCTTGTATTATGACATTCGTTTCTTCTATGTCACTATATGGATTAATTATCCACGGTGGTATTACCATAGTCAAAATATCCTCAAACCTAGATTCAAAATCTGAATAGAGGGCATTTAAATGTTGAACGTAAGTTGAAACGTCGTCTTCCTGGCAGCTTGTCTGTGACAAATTGGGGAACTGAGAAAAATTGCCTCGTCCAATATTTTGCTTCTTTAGTTTAACGCTGGCAAGAAACGCTGATAAGATGGACTTTTTTTCAATCAAATTTAATCTGTCGCCTTGTAATTGCAAATTAACCATATTAAATTTTGTAAACAAATCTGTTAAATATTCGATGTCTGTTTTCCTCTTCATTAAATTTTCTTTTAAAATTTTATCTTTAGTATCCAGAAATTCTAATATAGTCTTGAAAAGTGCAAAAAATCTTGTCAAGCATAAGCCTTTCGACAGCCAGCGTACTTCAGTGTGAAGGAGTAATTGATGGAAGTGTTCGTCATTTTCTTCACACAACTGCGCAAATAACCGCGTATTCAACGCGTTGCTTCGGATTCGGTTTACTGCATCAATGACTAAATCACTAAATGAAGTGATTCATGCAATCTAACACTCAAATTTTAGCAACTAAATGTTGTCGATGGATGACGCAATGTATTGCTAACACCCCTGACACGTTTTGTTTTAAATAGCTTATAAATCCACGATAACGTCCAACCATGGCAGGTGCTCCATCTGTAGCTACTGATATTATATTTGATAAAGGAATTGCTTTTTCAATGAAGTAATCCTTCAAAACATGAAATATTGATTCACCTTTAGTGTTGGTTATCAAAGTTCTTGCGAAGAGCAGTTCTTAGTAGATTTCTTGATTCATAATAAAACGAACATATGCCAATAATAATGCTGCATTATCAGGTAAAGTTGACTCGTCCAGTTGTATAGAGAAATGGGTCGTTTGCAAATAATTACATAAGAAGCTTTCAATATCAGAACTCACTTCATCAATACGTCTTTCAGATATCAGATACAGGTTTGTGTAAAACAGTTTTTAAAACCTCTTCAACGGCTGGCAAAATCAACTTCTCTCCGATAGTATGCGGTTTTCCGGATTTTGCTATAAGTAACGAGATATTGTAAGATGCCCGCAAACCATCATCATTTCTTTGTGACATCAACGCGAACATTCTGTTCAGTGTAGGTCTCTTCTGAAATTTATCTTTGAGTGTTTGAAAGTATTTCAAATATTTCTCTGTTTTATCAGGGTGGCATCTTCTCAGATGATCTTGCAGTTTAGATAGTTTCATAGCGTCATTGCCCAAAACTTTGTTGCATAAAAGGCACATAGGCGATTGTTTGTCCGGCAATGATGGAATGAAGCCAAATTTTAAATAATCAACACTGTACTGTCTACATTTCTTTTTAGATTCGGACATGGCATCAGTCATCTGTGGGCAAAATTAAATTATTTAAATAAGACAGAAAATCCAACAGCTGTATATTAAAAATATTTTTTGATTTTTCCGAAAACATTCCATAATTCGAACATCTTCTTGCAACAATTAGCTCGAATTACGGAGATTGCACTGTAATTATATTACCGATTGCTAAAACTTTCAAAAAGAAACTATTGAGGAGTACTCTTGTAATTTTGCATGATTGAATATTTAACTACTAATAACTAAAGTCATGATTGGCGTAATTTATCTATCTTTGCTAGCTACGAGTACAAAACTAAAATTTAATAAAAAATAATGTACTTACTTTTCTCCAGCACTCTCAAACAAAATAACACTGACTCACTATAATTTGTGTGATATACTATCTGTTTATATTTTTTTAAATATTTTCTTAGCACTTTCCTTTTCAAGATTCAGGAAACAAATAAACGTATTTGTCCCACATTCGTATTTATAGAGTGACGGATTGAACAAGTCAGTGCAAGGTAGCGAAGCTCTGAGACTGCGACTCTCAGGTTTTTACAAGTTCAAAATGTATTGCGACCACAAAGCGAATACCAACATCCTACAACTTACACAATTTTATAAACATATATAATAAATTTTTTACTTCATAGGTACTTTTATAAATAATGTATATGTTTTGATATTATAAGATAGTATGATGTAAGTAAATAGGTACTATCAGTGTATGTGTTGAGATCCACTATCCTGGACCCCCATATTCATTTCATGGACCCCCAAATTTTTTTTCGTTGACGTAGACCCCTTGCAGGTTGTCATAGACCCCTAGGGGTCGATATAGACCACTTTGGGAATCAATGCTCTAGAGGTATTATGGGCCGTATTTCTTTGGAGATGGAAACGGTCATGCATTGATAGTCAATTCCGAGCGATACAAGGACATGATAGACACTTTTTTGCGCCTATTGTAAGAACAGAATGTCGATTTAACAGGAACACATGGTTTCAACAGGATGGGGCCACTGCCCAGAGAATCGATGGACACGGTCCTCAAAAGCGAGGTACAGTGCAGTCTTATATTGAAAATGCTACAAGCAGACTTCAACCGCTGGTAGCGACCAGATGTGGCTCTGCAAAAGATTAATATTTTTTTACTGTAAGTTAATAAAAAATAAAAATTAATCAAACAATGGTGTTGATAAAATATCTCTCTCTCTCTCTCTTCTCTCTCGCTCTCTCTCTCTCTCTCTCTCTCTCTCTCTCTCGTTGCAGATGATTCTCTTATGTACCTACACAGTAACACTATATTATTTTAATTTCTTACAAATACTGTTTTACCACTTTTACACATGCTAAACTCGGGTACCGAAAAGAAAGGCAGCAGTAAAACACATCGCACGCCGCTGCCAGGGTGACATCTCTTTGAATACGGCTGGATACGCGCGCGTTGGTTTTGTTAATTCAAAGTCAGGCCGGGACAGCAGTAACGTGCGATGCGACCAGTGCTGCTTTAACAGGGTTGAAGAAGGAAGAACACTCTAATAATGTACCACTTGGAGGTACACAGGACGCACGCTGTCATAGTCAAACACGTAGACAAAATAGAAGCCGACAAGCGGGTCAGCTCAGGTTCAGGTCGACCTGCCATTATGCCATGCTCCGTGGCCCAACAATTCACAATGGAGTCTGATGGCGCCAAATTCGAAATCTGCTGTTTGTGTATGGACGCACGTTTTTTTCCGCTGATATATTTTTAATGAGTTATATGATGCAACGGTGGATTCATATTAATACGTAGAAATCTCACTATACGCTAGAGATTTGGAATCTGGCGACATCATAATCCTACCATCTGTTACAAAAAGACCGATGCCATCCCCATGTCGAAGAATAGACATATGTGCAGTATGAATCCTATAAATATAAATAATATAAATTAATATGGACAATTATGTCTTTACACTTGCTTAGTTAGCTACACCCGCTGCAAAAATATCAATATTATTATAATGATCTTATGGGTATACTCGTAGGTACATAGGGTATCCATGGATATCTCAAGTGTTTATCTGCCAGCTGCGCTTTTTATTAAATTTAAATTGAGCACTTTTTTACTTATTTGTTAAACAAATCTAAATAATGGAGTTCTAATGTTTTCCATTGATGGAAAGGTAAATATTTGATTAATATTATAAAAGAAATATTGTATTTAAAATATATTTATGAAGGATATTAATTGATTATTATTTATTAAAATGTTATAATCCAAATATTTATTAAATATTTGTTTATGATAACATATATTTGAATAATTAAAAATTGAATAAAAATTTAATGAATATTTCGTGCTATCGGGAGCATATATAAAAAAAAATTCATAATTTCGCAAAATCGAACTAACGAAGGTCATCACGAAAGAACAAAGCAAGGCAACTAAAAGCTCTCTATTCTCTCCAGTGTGCTGTGTTGTCAGGTGTATCTTCCTCTGTATTTGTGCGATAGTCGCGACCATTGTACAAGATTAGTCCATAAGGGGTTTCTTAGAAATATTTTTGGCGCAAAATCCGTCTTTCGCTTCTCCACCGATTGGCCTATTTCCATAAACTCCAACATAACTCTTTCGGGTTTATTTTCCCATTCAACACATTAACCAAATCTCCTTAATGTATTTGCAATACCAGGCGGCAGATAAGGCAATCTTTAGGCGATCCGACTCAATATTCATCCTGATAAACTTCCAAGGATTTGAATACCAATCACGGTGAAGGTTTTTTTGGGGAGTTTGCTTGCCCCTGCTACAGTTCCTTGAGATTATGCAGAGTGTTAGAGCCTATTGGCTCTGCGAAATTGGGAAAGTGGCATTAAGTTAATAACATCGAATACGGTTTGAATAAACCCTGGAAAGTTGAGGAATCATTAATATCAGGATAAAAAGGAAAAGAGAATAACACTGGGAGCGTGGGTCTCTAATAAGTAAGGTGTCACTCAGGCTTGTCAGGCTTAACGAGTTGTCACCAAACGATCCCAACTATCAAAGTGGTGCTATAAGTTTTTGCTAAAAGCTCTTCTTTGTTGTTGCGTGAACCCCGAAATGCTGCCTTAATGTTATGTGAAATGCAAATTTGCTTCTTGCGGCATATTTGCTCTAAAATCTCGTGTCTAAACCATTCTTATAGCATTCTTATACAACACCTTATATGACAAATTTTGAACTGTTGCATAAACGTGTATACAACTATCCTATACGGCATATTAGCTCGGTAGTCAAAATAGTTCTGATCTGGCCTCCAAAATAAATGAAATGGAAGGAGGTGCTCTGCGTACCGATTCCACTAGTCTAGGTTAATAGTTAAATATACTATGCAAAATAATTATGCTTTGCACACATTAACATTTATAATTAAGCGCATACTTGATCGACACCACAGTGGTCCTAAAATATGGCCAAATTAGACTCACTAAATTTTACAAAAAAATCCATTTCTATTTTTTCTAGACCGCTGATAACGAACATGATATCCATTTTTTAAATACCAAAATGACGAACTTAATATGATATACATCTTTTTTGCACTTTTTTCAGGTTTTTAGGTGCCTGAACCACGTATATGCATCTCCTCGTCGACACAGACAAGGTTCAAGCTCCCCCCCCCCTCCAGTCACGACATTATGACTTTTACAATATTCACGTTATCTCGAAAAAAAAGCGATAATCAAATCTATCCCCCGTTCTCGTTGACACCAATTAGGTTATTTATCCTTGATAATAGGCAAATACACTAATATTTATTTTGATTCTCAACACCTTATTAACTAAATACCTATTAACATCAAAACGATATTTACAATAATATTTCTGAAATGGCAAATTTATCGTCGTTG